TATTTACTTTATTAACCATCATACAATGTGAGAACTGTTGTTGTATTTACTTTATTAACCATTATACAACATGAGAACTGTTGTTGTATTTACTTTATTAACCATCATACAATGTGAGAACTGTTGTATTTACTTTATTAACCATCATACAATGTGAGAACTGTTGTTGTATTTACTTTATTAACCATTATACAACATGAGAACTGTTGTTGTATTTACTTTATTAACCACTATACAACATGAGAACTGTTGTTGTATTTACTTTATGAACACCATTATACAACATGAGAACTGTTGTTGTATTTACTCTATGAACCATTATACAACGTGAGAACTATTGTTGTATTTACTTTATGAACCATTATACATCTTAAGAACTGTTGTTGTACTGAGATAATGTCTTTTTTGCTATATTTGTTACTGTTTAATATCAATCATTTTTCAGTGACACCTCTAAATATTTAAGATATTCCATTTCTTCAACTAATAAAAACAGGTATTCTGACTTATTTGTAATAATTACAGATCGTGGTCAAGCTGGTGTTGACTTTTTTCTAATCACTAAGAGCAGTACATATGTTAACCTCAGTAATTGTTTGTTGTGAAAGAGTATCAGTTTGTTGAAAGATTAATTAAGTTCTGTCAGTTATCAAGTGATTTCTTGCCTTAGTGAAAGATTAATTAAGTTCTGTCTACTTTCAGATATCAAGTGATTTCTTGCCTTAGTGAGCATGTCATGAATGATACATTTCAGGACAAAAAACAACGCATTACCAAAGAATGTAGACAACACCTTCGTGTTGAGTTGTTAGAAAGGGTAAGACAAGTAATGTTTAGGGTTGACATTTAATAATTATATAATTCTTGGGTAAGATAAGTAATGTTTAGTGTTAACATTTAGTAAACTGTCATTTAATAATTATATAATTCTTGGGTAAGATAAGTAATGTTTAGTGTTAACATTTAGTAAACTGTCATTTAATAATTATATAATTCTTGGGTAAGATAAGTAATGTTTAGTGTTAACATTTAGTAAACTGTCATTTAATAATTATATAATTCTTGGGTAAGATAAGTAATGTTTAGTGTTAACATTTAGTAAACTGTCATTTAATAATTATATAATTCTTGGGTAAGATAAGTAATGTTTAGTGTTAACATTTAGTAAACTGTCATTTAATACTTATATAATTTTATGTGAGATTTGCGATAACTTATCTTGTTTGCTTGTTTTTTACTACAAAGAAATAAAGTGTCCCAAGAAGTCAGAGTTTTATATGTATATTACATCTTGACTGGGTAGCTGGTAGTATTGATTATATTTATGCTCTACAATACCAATAAATTTTTTTTCGTTATTAATGGTGTCAACCGTCTCATACCAGGAAGGGTGGTTAATGTTTCTATTGAGACGTTATTAATGGTGTCAACTGTCTCGTACCAGGAAGGGTGGTTAATATTTCTATTGAGACGGACAGTTGACACCATTAATAATTGTACCAGGAAGGGTGGTTAATGTTTCTATTGAGATGTTATTAATGATGTCAACTCTATCATACCAGGAAGAGTGGTTAATGTTTCTATTGAGGCATTATTAATGGTATCAACTGTATCATACCAGGAAGGGTGGTTAATGTTTCCATTGAGACGTTATTAATGGTGTCAACTGTCTCGTACCAGGAAGGGTGGTTAATGTTTCTATTGAGATGTTATTAATGATGTCAACTCTATCATACCAGGAAGGGTGGTTAATATTTCTATTGAGGCGTTATTAATGGTATCAACTGTATCATACCAGGAAGGGTGATTAATGTTTCTATTGAGACGTTATTAATGGTGTCAACTCTATCATACCAGGAAGGGTGGTTAATGTTTCTATTGAGACGTTATTAATGATATCAACTCTATCATACCAGGAAGGGTGATTAATGTTTCTATTGAGATGTTATTAATGGTGTCAACTGTCTCGTACCAGGAAGGGTGGTTAATGTTTCTATTGAGACGTTATTAATGATATCAACTCTATCATACCAGGAAGGGTGGTTAATGTTTCTATTGAGACGTTATTAATGATATCAACTCTA